CAGACAGAGAGAGACAGAGAGACAGAAAGCGAGAAATCACCCCCCAGGGGTATGGTCACACCACAGTCCCTTCTCCTCCATTCTCCTCTCATCTTGGGCACACACGCACACACGCCCGGCATGAGTTTTAAGCCACCGGGTCCAGGACGCGAAACACGGTCGACTACGTGGGAGTCCAGCGACATAGCCATTATGCTAACTGCTGGTTCCCAGAAGGTAGAGTTTTTAAAAAGTTTGGCTTTGGGCCAGCTGGTGACAGGATGATTATGTCTGGATACCACTTGTCTAACTGTACAGTCTCCTATGGCTTGAAAAATAAGTGGCATACATGTGCATGAATGCCCAGTATCCCTAAAGGAGGGAGAAATGGAGGAGAAGGGATTGCTGTGTCCCATGGCAGGTGCTTTCTCTTTTTCTTTCTTCTCTCTCCTTCTCTCTCTCCAGCCTCTGACAGAAACAAACAAATAAAAAACAAAAAAAAACTTGGCTTAATATAACATCTTCTTCATAGAGAAGGCATTAAGTGGTAAAGGATGAATGACGAATTCTGCAGTCATCTCTGTTTGATGTGTGCCTCACATTACACTCCCCACTTCAGAATGATAACGCCGTCTTGATAGTGTCTAGTTCCCCTATCATTCCTCTACCTCCATTTATCCAGAGACCCTCCTGTATTGCTCTGTGATTAATGCAACTGCAGTTATGATCACTAGCTCATTTAATACAACCCTGCAGTTAACAACAACAACAACAACAAACATTTAATTAATAAGCAAGTTTGTACAAATTACCAAATTACATTACAAAAAACCTGTGTACATTTTTTAGGGCTAACTAATATTTCATTCAAAGACAAATGTTGAAAATGGGTTAGGCTGGCATAATAATACTAATTTGGAAATATAAAATACTCTCTTTTAGTCTTCACTACTCATGGTCATTTACTATTTTTAAATATAGTATATACTATTAATATTTTTTTGTTGTCAAATTACACATGTAAGTTACACATATTTCTGTCTCTTTACCTACTAGAGAAAGAGGAGAGAATTCCTCTTTTACATTACAGGTTTTTATTTTAATTTATATAACAAACTAGGTATATATCATTGGAGGGGCTACCAGATGGCATGGTGATTAAGACACTGGACTCCCAAATGGCCTACCGTGATTCAAATCCCACACCTGGCAGCTTGCAGTCTCGCTTTCTCTTTCTCTCTCTCTGATGAGCACATAGGCCCTATAGCAAACAAATAATAATAATAAAATTAAATAAATGATTTTAAAAAATGATTGGGATACTATTTCCAGTAATTTAAAAAATATTATATAATGCTATCCTTTGAACTACTGTAAACTAATACTAGCTAA